CCCGCATTGTCATTCACAATTACATCCCCAGTGCCTAGCACAGTACCTCGGATTAAATCTATTATAAAATTTAGGAAGACCACAGGTTCTGTTGGAAAGCATTAGGATACCTGTATGACTCTGATAATTCAGTAGATGTTGATATGTAGTTTGGCCTTTGGTAGGAAGTCATGTTCAAAGCCTTCTGTTCAAACCTGTCAAGGAATAATAATACCTACTAGGTGCTAGGGACTATTATAAGCACTTTTCTCAGCATTTTACAGATGAGATGAGACTGAGTCAAAGAGCTGTTATATGACCTGTCTAAGATAATCTATAATAATAAAAGCATAATATGCTAATTAGACTGGACAGCCTAATGATCTTGCAGACGTCATTCCAGACATCTTTCTGGATGAAACTCTGGCGGTGGGGCTGAGGCAGAGGTGGTTAGGGGCGATCAGGCAGGCTGGCGAGCAGTTAGGGGCACTCAGGCAGGCAGGCAGAGTGGTTAGGGGTGATCAGGTAGGCAGAGGTGGTTGTGGGCAATCAGGCAAGCAGGCGAGTGGTTAGGGGCGATCAGGTAGGCAGGCAAGTAGTTAGGGGTGATCAGGTAGGCAGACAGCCCCTCGCAGGGCTGGTCTCACCCCCAGAAAAGAAATAGGGAGGCCCAGGCCACTTACGGCGACTCTGTGGCAGGTGTGCGACTGGCCAGCGATCGCCCTGCAGAGGGAGGCCCAGGTCAGCCAAGCCATTGCACCCCACACCTGTCGCCTACAGAGGGAGGCCACCGGTGGCAGGGGAGGGTGTAGGCAGCACTGCACAGATGGCAAGCAGAGGCAGAGGCGGGGGTGGGGCCAGCTGCCTGCAGCCAGGGGATAGAAAGCCCCGATAGGCCCTGATCTCAGGCCAGGCCTAGGGATCCTACCTGAGGGGTCCTTGATTGTGAGAGGGTGCAGGCCGGGCTGAGGGACACCCCCCCCCCCCAAGTGCATGAATTTTCATGCACCAGGCCTCTAGTACAATAATAAAATAGGAGAACCAAGCTTCTACCCACAGTCTGGCTCCAGAATCTACACTCATTCTCCATACCAGGTGTCTCTCCATTGCTCAGGTGATGAAAGCTTAGCCCACTATCTACCTTTATTTCCCCATTGTATTGCGGGGAAACCAGCAATATTTCCCCAACCTGTTTCATCATGTTTCTGGGTCCACAGAGGCTATATTTTCCAGACCTTCCCTGTGGTTATTGTAGCTATGTCACCAAGTTCCAGCAGAGGGATGTGAGCAAGGTGATGTGTATCACTTCCTGGCCTGGCCCATTAAGTCTCTCACATGGTGCTATATGTTCTTTCCCGTTCTTTCTGCTTGAGGAAAGTGGGCATGGTGAGCATGGTGCCAAAGTTTGAAGAGCTGGAGCCACAAAATGGAAGAAGGCTAGAACCCTGAATGTTGCTTGGAGAAGAGTCAGGCAACAATCAGAACCATGTTTGTTAGACTTTAAGTGAAAAAGAGATACTCTTCTATCAACTTTGTGCCATTATATGTGTTAGAGTTATTTTGTTATAGCAGCTAGAGTTACCTTAACTGATAAATATGTGAATTGAGCTGATCTTGTTCCTGGCTTTAGTACATACTTTTCATTAGAATTCTCAATTATTTACATCCTAAAAATTATTCAATGCCTAAATAAAGTCCAATTGCCTTCAAGCAGTTCTATTCCATTCCCACCAGCCACAGTGATATCTCTTTCCCTCGACTTCCTGTAGCATTTGGTTGTCTCTGCCTCTTATCATATCATAGCTCCAATTTTGGATGTCTTGTTTTTCCAGTGAGATTGTGAGCTCATCAAGGTCAAGGATCATGTTTTTATGCTTCTTGTATGACTCTGAAGTGCATAACATGGTGTTAATGTTTTGGGAATTTTCAATAAATACTAGTATTTGTTGGGAAAATGAATTTGTAAATATATTAGGCTCAATAAAATCCATTTTCCTAAAAACAGTCCTTCATTGCTCAGGCAGGAAAGCATGTAAACTATAATTTACTGCAGTGGGTGTTTTTATTATTCTCTTCACCAATATACACATTCTAACACTTTTTGACAACTGCTTAGAGGAGACAGAAGGCATACTTATCAAATTTCAGATGACACAAAACGAGAGGTAATAAATAATGCACGAGATGGCAGAATCAAAATTAGACAAGCTGGAATGAAGCAGATAACACTTAATAGGGATAAGTACAAATTTAGACTTTAAAACCCAGCAGCCCAATTTATATATGGTTAACATCAATTTTTAGGAAAAAAAAAAAACAAAAAAAAAACACGTTCAGGTTTTAATTGGCTGCAAAGCTGAAATGAGCCCAAAGTTGCACGCAGGACTCTGTTCATAGTGAGGCTCCGGGCACTGGGTGTCGGGCAAAGCATTCAAGCACTAACAAGGCACAGCATGAATTAAGGTTGCTATGTAGAGGCAAACAGGAGATGGATAGAGCTTTAATTTTGGGTAAAGGGGTGAACAAGTGTCCATATTTTTACCTGGGCAAGCTCAGCACCTGGGTCAACTTTTACCTGCAGCATTAGTCGGAACACACTGTCCGATGATGATACCATTCAGTGATTTCTGACACTAGACTGGTGCCAATTGGGCAGCCTGGGTCCCCTTAAGTTGTACTTCAGAAGTAGAACCTAGTAGAAAGGCTTGTTATTTTCCTTTTGGTCCATTCCCCAGTGTCAGGGTTAGAGCTGTCCTTCACTTAAGACCCTTAATTGATGACGGTAAGAAATGCCACATCACCTGGATAAATTTAAATTTTCCCCTTGGGAGAGGGGAAAGAAGGCAGATAGCAAGTTCTCTGGGCTCAGTTGGGACCATGGTTTGACCATCCTCACCATCCTAGATCTGCTCCTAGAAACCCTTATTTCCTAAGAACTGGGATCAGAGTTCTGGCAAGAAGGCTATGATGACCTGGTCCTTGGCACCAAACCACCAAAAAAGCAAATACAATATTAGTCAGTGTTAATAGAAGCCTAGCATCTGGCACAAAGGATCTGCTGTAGTCTGTGTGGCATCAGACCACACAGGAAGAATTGTTTCTTTTCCTGATACCATGATTTTAAAGGATTACTGGTGTAATCCTTCATCAAAAGGAAGATGACCAGAATGCTGAAAGGACTTAGAAACCAAATCACTAGTTATTTTTTGGTGGTTCAGGCTCAAGGCCTGGAAGGTGTCAGGATGGTGTGTGGGAAGGGAGCATGAGGCAGGATATCCTAACTGTCTTCAGACAGGAGAATGCTGTGAAGAATACTAGCATGTTAGGTCACGCCAGGAGGCAGAACTCGAGCGAGTGGGATATAAGCCCAAAATGAAGACATTTTTAACTATATTGCTCTTCAAAAGTGGAATATACTAGTACTTTGTAAGTGAGGTTTAAAATGTCCAAGGTCAGGTCCAATAACTGTCATAGATATTTTAGCTGTAATTCAAGAACATGTGTATGGGAAGTTAGATGCGAGGGTTTCCATGGTCCCATTCAAATCTAAGGGTCTATGGTCTAATCAATCTTTAAGTTAGAAACGTTCTACAGACTATGAGGAAAGATTACCTGAGATTATTTTGTAGTTATAACCTGGTTTTTGAAGTGGATAGTTCCCTCAAAAAAAAGAAAAGAAAAAAAAGCAGAACCCATGGGTTATTTAATCTTTGATATATGAGAGGGGGGAAATGGAAGGAAAAGGCGCTCCCTGAGGATACGGTAAAAGAAACCTTCCACAGGGACCACGGGAATCCCAAAGCGGTGCACAGGCCGAGAAGGCTGGAAACCCTCTCACTCAATGACAAGAATTATGATGCTGCACAACACCGCACAAGGTGAGCTCGTGTCTTTTTTGGATAAAGCACGTTTGGTCTCTGCCTCTCTCCCTACCGCTGTTGGCCCTCCAAACAAACATGCAAGAATCACATTGTTCGGGAGAGGTGATTGTCCTTGAAACACTGTTGAGTTTCTATGTCTCTTTGTATGGGTTTCTTGAACTCTTCCTTTTTCTCAAAGTCTGGAAGAAATACAATGTTTTAATCCTATCGAGTCTCCCATGCGATAAGGGGTCATTTGCGAAGAAAGTCAAGGTATTGTGGACTTGGGCGAGAAGGCAGATTCTCACCCTAAGAACCGGTGGTGGGGGGTAAAGGGGAACACATGCTGGGCAAACCCAAGAACAGGAGAGTAGGGAGAGCGGTCTTGCCGCCTGACCAGCAAGAAGCCCTCCAGTCGCTCTGGGAAAGACCATTGCGGGCTCCCCAAGTTCTCCCAGGAGGAGGTGCGGGAAGGGGGGCACCTAAGGCAGAACGCGGGAAAAGCCAGGGCCCGGATTCCGGGACCCGGGTGACTGTTGGGCCGAGGAGGCCCCCCAACTTGGGGCCCCCCGTTCGGGGCTGAACCGGTTCCCCCCAACTCCCGGTCTGGGCGCCGGGGGTTCGC